CTTTCCAGAAGCCTGAGTGGGATGTAGAGATGATAAAATGGAAGCCCAGACTGGTAAACAGACTTGCTCAGGTCACAAAGGCCCAAAGTGGGAAAGCTGGGATTTGAATTCATAGCTAGGTGGTTCAGTAGATAAGAGTGCTAGGCCTGGAGTCAGGAAGACTCCAAATCTGGCCTCAAACACTCAGTAGCTGGTGTGACCCTGGGCCAGTCATTTAATGTCTGGTTGCCTTAATCCACTGGAGAAGGAAATGGCAAACCACTCCAATATCTTTGCCAAGAAAATCCCATGTCCAGCACTGGTATGCTGTGGTTCAGTGGGTCACAAAGAGTTGGGCACAACTGAATAACAACAACCCCCAAACCCAAATTCAGCAATTTTTGCATTCTAATAAACAATTTCCCTCATCTTTTATGGCATCTAGGTGGCACAGCAGATAGAGTCCTGGGTTAGGAGTTCAAATCTGACCTCAGATACTTACTAACTGCCTGACTCTTGGGAAGTCACTTTGCTTCTGTTTGCCTCAGTTTTCTCATCTATAAAATGGGGGAAAATAATATCTACTTTGCAGAGTTGTCATGAGGATCAAAGGAGATATTTGAAAATCATTTAACACAGTGCCTTGCACATAATAAGCATGCTATAAATATTATTATTATTATTATTATTGTAGTGCTAGACTTGAAGGAAAATCTGACTTCAAATCTTAACCAGTTATATAGATATAGTTACATGGATTATATAGTTATATGACCCTGGGCAACTCACTTAACTTCATTCAACCTCTTTTTCCTTATCTGTGTAACGGGGATAACAATAGTACCTATCTCCCAGGGTTGTTGTGAGGTTCAATATTTATAAATTTGTACTATATTTATAAAGCACTCAGAAAATCTTAAACTACTATATAAATATTATATATTATTAACTCTGAAATAAGTTGGATGGTCTAGAGAACTTCTAAGGTTCTTCCTGATCTAATACTCTATCTTTCTATAAGAATTAATGCTTCTTAGGGGCAGCCAGGTGGCTTAGTGGATACAGCACTGACCCTGAAGTCAGGAGGACCTGAGTTCAAATATGACATCAGACACTTAACTGTATGACCCTGGGCAAGTCACTTAATCCCAACCGCCTCAAAAAAAAAAAAACCCAATATTTCTTCCTCTTTGACATTCTTAATTTGGGGGGCATTTTCACCACATGATCTCACAGAATTGTCCACCACTACAAATATCATGAACTTAGAGATTCCAACGCAGCTTTTTCTTCCTTTAAGTATCAAGTTAAAAACTGTCCTCACCTGCTCCTGCTCCATTTATTTATTTTTAAATCTCTCTGAGTTCCTGCTTGGTCTCTGAGGACTTATTTCCTTCCTGGTGTTCATAGCAACAGTGAGTTCCTTTTTACGTCTTCGTTTGGTACACTTGGATCACATGGTTTCTCTTATGCAGTTTCTATTTCTAGATTTTTCCTTTAGACTTTTTTTTTTAATTCAGGGCTTGTCAGGAGATAGTCTTCTGTCTGTCCCAGCTTACCTTTTAAATGTCTCTCCTCCTTTGCAAAAAACCATTTTGACCTGTCCACCTGGAGACGACTTGGGTTACAATCTCTGGCTATCCAGGGTGGAATTCCCTTCACCTGATACTCAAAGCATTTGTGATTTGCTCTATCAAAGAAGATGGCCTTCATTCACTTCTTTAAAGACCTGAGATCTCAGGCCAGAAGGGACCACAAGTGACATCTGGTCCAACCCTCCTTTTGCAGAAGAGGAAAATGGGGCCCAGGTAGTAAGTAATATGCATCAGATTCAGGATTTGAACTCAGGCCCTGTTACTCCAGAGCCACAGCTCCTTCCACTGTACCATGAAACTTTGTAGATTAAGTCTTAAAGGGATTTGTTCTATAAAATTTGGATTCGGTCGAAAGGCTGCACTTGAGGATCTAGAAGGCCACAAGTCACAGGTTCCCCAGCCCTGGGGAGTAGCTTGATATACAGGGAAGTTAAGTGACTTTTTCAGTCTCACGATGACAGGAAGTATCTGAGGTGATCTGAAGTCTTTCTGAATACAAGTCAAACACTGTAGCCACTACACCCTCCTGCCTCTGTGTACCCAAAGCATGTTACAAACCCCAAATGGGATGAAGGATGAAAAATTCAAACAGTGGATTGTTTTGTGTACACTCTACAAAACTGACACGGTCATTTTCTTTCCTGTTAAATTGATTAGTTTTTAGCACAAATAATCTAGTTGCTTTCGTCAAGAAGCATGGTGCATTGGGCAGAGCACTGGGCCTGGAGTCAGGAAGAACTGAGTTCAAATCCAGCCTTAGACACTTCATAGCTTTGTGACCCTGGGCAAGTCATTTAACCTGTGTCTGCTTCAGATTCCTCAACCATACAATGGGGATCATAATAGCACCTACATCTCATTGTGAAGATCAAATGAGATCACATGTCAGCATGTAGTACAGAGGTGTTTAACAAATGCTTATGCCTTTCCTTTTTCTCTGTTTTAGTGTTGTGTAGACTCAATCTATATCAGGAACCCTTCCTCTTTCTCTGTTTTAGTATTGTGTAGACTCAATCTACATCAAAAACGTCACATAAAATAATGGTGGGCTGGCCAGCAGCACATTTGGTACATTCACATTAATAACTTGTCTACATCTGAGAATACTCTCTTGCAACTCTTTCATCTTGGTTCCTGCTGGAAATTAGTCATTCTTGGTCATTCTTCTTAGAGTTGAATGAGATTCTTGGGTTTGGGATTTTATGACTCATAACCAACCATGCGCACACATACAGGACTTTGCCAGAATAAATTACTGCTTTATTAAGTCTGTGTGCACCTTGGCACCAACCCTCAAACACACATGAATCCAAGCGTGCTCAAAACCAGTCCATGAGCTTTTTCCTCTTTCCACATCAATCTTCTTGTTTCTGGCATGGGGGAACAGCACTACTTTATTTTCTAGTCTCAGCTCTGTTTTTCTTCAGTAGCCACAGAGACACAGTTTTGGTTCTCTTTCTCAATGGAACCATGGTTATTTACAATATTTTCATTTTTTCTTTCACTGTCATGTCATTCATTTTCATTCACTGTCATGTTTAGCCATCTCTGCCCCTAACTCCATAAACTTCCCAAGCGCTGAAGCTACACGGGCAGTAGACACATCTATGGTTGCAAACATCCTTGTCTCTCCCTCCTTTAATTGGCAACATTTCCTCTAATTTCTCTGACTACTGTTCTTGAGAGTTGACTCTACAGTCCTTTCAGTATTCCACTGGTAGCACAGAAAGCATGCCGAATTTGGGGTCAAAGGACCCCCAAAAATTCTGGCTCTGCTACTTCCTGTCTTGGAGAGGCCTGATCCGTCACCTCACCTACCTTGGACTCAGTTTTTGTATTTGTAAAATGGGAGGACTGGACTAGATGGTCTTTAAGATCTCTGCAAGCTCTAAATCTCTGAACCTATAATAAAGCTTGGATGGTACAGCTAGACTGGTCCATTTTAGCCCCAGTGGGGAAAATCCTATTGTCCCGTAGCTACATTCACAGTCACTACATTGCTTTGCAGTGTAAAGCAATATACAATACAACCTTACACTGCAAAGCAACATACAACAATATGGCTAAGGAAAACACACATACATATACACACACACACACACACACACACACACACACATACACACACACAATGAAAGCATTAAAATCCCAACTAAAATCCTATTTTCTACTGGAAGCTTTTCCTAACTCCTCTTAATTTCAATGCTTTCCCTTTTACTTATTTCCTATTTATCTTGCATAAAGCTTGCAACGTATATGTTTGTTTGCATGTTGTCTCCCCCACTAGACTGTAAGCTCCTTGAGGACAGGGACTACCTCTTGCCTCTTTTTGTATCTCTAGGGCTTAGCACAGTGCCTGGCACATGGTAGGTGCTTAAAAATTATTGATGTACTATATATTTTAAGCCTAAACCCAGGCAAATATTCCTTGACAGCATTTCTTGGCCTGTGGGAAAGTAGTAGATTCAGAACAAAAAAAACTTAAAGCATTTTCTTTATGATGCTGTTTAGCTGTATCTGACTCTTCATGACCCCATCTGGGGTTTTCTTGGCAAAGATATTGGAAGTGGTTTGCCATTTCCTCTCCAGCTCATTTCACAGATGAGGAAACTGAGGCAAACAGGGTTAAGTGACTTGCCCAGGGTCACACAGTTGGTAAGTGTCTAAGACCAGATTTAAACTCAGGAAGCTCAGTCTTTCTGACTCCAGGCCTGGCACGCTATCTACTGCACCACCTAGCTGCAGCTATACGTGCAATGCATTGGGATTCAAAGACAGGTTACTACACAAAAGTGAATAATTTTGCACATGTCCTGTTCCTTTTCATTTTCCATTAGAGCAGCTTCATAAAACTTGATCTGTAGGAAGGCCTGACAGTAACAGACTTTTCCCTAAAGAATCCCTTTGTGTATGAGTAGATTTTTTTTAAATCCCAAAGAGAAGCCAGCAGAGAAGTGGTTCAAACTGCTCCTTAACCCAAAGCAGGTATTTACTTCTGAAAGGGTAGGAAAGCAGAGGGTGGTGATTGTTTTTAAAATTAGGATAGATTTTCACAGATGCCAAGATGCTGAAGCAATGTGAAACATGGAGATTTTAATGAGGATTGTTAATTCACCTGGAAAAAAAAACCCACCATCCTCTCCCTTCTTGGCAGTTTAAGAGGTAGCATAGTGAGAATGCGTTCTGTCCTCTCAGCCAGTGTCTTCCACACCTCCTAATTTAAAATTTCCATCAACCAGACGTTCTTGAACCCCAAACTGGGAGATTGAAAGGATTACAGAAACTGTATCTCTTATAAAAGCTTCCAAATTCACTTTGTCAAGAGTTTACCCTCAGATCATCAAAATCTCCCCCACTCTCCGTTTCTTCCATTAGGCTCCTTCTTCTACTCCAGTTATGGAGAGTGAGGTGATTTATCCCCCTTACCTTGTTGAACTGGTGAATAGGCATTTGTCAGAAAACGGAAGGGTCCTTTGTTGTACCAGCAGATCAGAGACATGTTTCCTTTCATCTTTATTCGGTACTGTCCTCGAGCCTGGGGAACATCTGAATTATTTAACATAGACAGAGGTAGGCCAGTGCAGTCACTTTTTCGGGAGCTCAGCAGTCCACAGCAGTAGATTTCTGTGTGGGTGGGGAGTAAAATAATTGTAAAATACATACACATTATATACACTATAGTATATTACAATTTACATCAGTTTACAGATGAAGAAACTGAGGCGCAGAAAAACTAAGTGACTCGCCTAAGGCCAATTAGTTAGAAACTGGCAGAGCCAGGATTTGAATCTATGTCTTCAAATTCCAAATATAATTTTAGATAGCTAGGGGACACAGTGGATAGAACACTGGACTTGGAATCCAGAAGACCTGAATTCAAATCCAACCTCAGATACTTCTTAGCTGTTTGATCCTGGGCAAGTTACTTATCTGCCTCAGTTTCTTCAACTATAAAATGGGGATCATAATAGCACCAATCTTCCAGGATTGGTGTGAGGATCATATGAAATAATTGTAAAGTGCTTAATATTTTGTTTCTGCCTTTGAATCCAAGGCCTAGCTCAGCACATTACACATATAGGTGCTTAATTAGCTTAGTTAGCATACAGCTTGCCACACAGTAAATGCTTAATAAATACTTAAGTCCTTTCACTTCTTTGTGAATATCAGCCTAAGTGATTCAGGTTTTTTTTTTTTCCTGTCGGAGCCATTGATTGTTTTTAACCTGGGAAAGAGTAGGTAAAGCATTGTGGGAGGAATTAGATGTGCAAATCATGATTTTTAGGCAGATTAAGTAAATCTGGAAGTAGCACATAGAGTGAACAAGAGAGAGAAGAGAATGGGGCAGATAGACAGGTTAGGAGATCAATACGATAGTTGTGTAGAATGAAAGCTCTTTGATAGTGGGGGGTGTTTGTTCCTTTCTTTGAATCCCATGGTAGACTCAGTGCATCGCACATATAGGAGCTTAATAGATGCTTATTGAACTGAATTCAGGTATTAATGATGGGGGTCTTGACCAGGGTGGTAGCAATAGAAACAGCAAGAAAAAACAAAAAGAGACGACAGCATAGGGTGATTGTAGAAGGAGGGACAATGGATGATATCAAGGTGTCCACTGGAAATAGAATTCTATTCATTCAATGAACACTTAGAATTCTATAAGTAAAGTTATCATCTGCAGAGAACTGCACTGGGCACTGAGGAGGACACAGCAGAGACAAAAGACACAATTCCTGTCCTTTAGTGAACTTATAGCTTTATTGAGACAGGATTTATACCTAGTCAAAGAACCTTAGAGATGGAAGTGGGTCTGAAGGGTCAGAAATGTGAAACTATTCACTTCAACAGACAGATAAGGACTGGATCTATGATTTTAGTGATTTAGAGTAGTTGTGTCAAACTCAAGTAGAAAGGAGGGTGGCACTAATCCACACATAAGGATCCCCGGCATATACTGACTTAGAAAACTACACATTAATATTATCTATGTTCCATCTAATTTTTATTTATTTTGTTAAATATTTCCCAATTACATTTTAATCTGGTCTGGGCTGCTCTCAAGGGTGTTGTGGACTAATTGTTGACACCCCAATGAAAGTCCCTCTCTGGTGCTGGTCAGCTCCATGCCTGGAGCACTGAGAGTTTCAAGTACTCGCTCCAGGTCAGTCAGATATACAACTTAAATCTAGCTGTTCCTGACTCTGAGGCCAGCTCTCTAGCCCTTATACCAGACTGACTCATTTTAACAAGAAGTAGTTAAATAACAGTTCAAGACAGAATAAAATTAAGAGCCAAGTGAGTCTGGAATCCTGAGAGAATGCTGGTTCCATTCGCAGAAACAGCAAAGTCTAGTGGGCAGGGCTCCTCATTATGAGGTTGGTTTTAGACATGGGGAGTTTGATGTAACAGTGGAATATAAGTAAATAAATATGAGAGAAGTGGGTTTTCTGTTAAAAATTAATTTAAATTCGATAAGTATTGATTAAGAGCTTACTTAAGTAATTAGAAAAAAACAGTGGAATTAGCAGCTAAGGTTGCACATTGTTCATAATCGCTTGCTGTGTGAATCAGTATATGTTATGCATACCACATTATGCATAATGTGAGAAGGGGAGAATACCAACTTGTCTCATGGAGAGACTAATATCGAATACAATTGTTATGAAACTAAACCTATATTCTCCAGACAAGTTTCCAGATTCTACCTGTTCCTCCACAACCTCTCCTCTGAGACTTCAGATTGGCCCACTGCTAGAATTTAGGGAAAGTTTTCTCTTGTCTCAAATGTGATAATAATTGTAAAGCATTTAGCACAGTGCCTGGCACATGGTAAGTGATATGTAAATAATGGCTTCTGTATTATCATATCCCTATTTTCACCTTAAGATTACTAAAGATTGAATCATCATTTTAGGCCCATCAACTGACAGGTCAGTAACTTAAAAAACAAAAAGTTATAAAAAAAAAACATACCCACACAGGAATCTTTCCTCACCCCAACTATTTTTGAGGCCAAAATTTTTTCTTATTCTTATACTAATAAGTCCCCCCCCCACAACTCCACCACCAAGGTTGGCAGATGCAGTAGGCATCTGATAAAAGCAGAGAAAGAGGTATGAATGAGCCTGTTTTCTAAAAGTAAGAGTGAATGAGTGCATCATCATTGTTCATACCTCTTCAACTGTTCCTACCAAGCCTCCCAGAGTGGGAATGAATCCAGGATGCATCCTTATATATAACAGCAGCCAGAGCAATTTACCTAGAATCATTTTTCCTCCCCCTTTAGTAGGAAAATATCTGTTAAAAGGAGGGAATAAAAAGGAGGGGATAAATGATATCGGTTAAAATCCTGTTTCTTTTTAAATGACTTAAAGCATCCAGGAGATGACAGTCTATTATTCTTCTCTATTGAGGAATGTTTCCCTGTCTGAAGCTTGCAAAGCTAGGAGCAATTTGAAAAATTGATGGAACTAGCGTTCATGCTCACGCCACAGGAAAGGCAAAAGCCAAGCCTAGCGGAGTCTGTCTTCATCTCTGTATTCCTTTATGTGGATATGGACAGATGTGTCTACAAGTTGGCTCATCCTGCTTTAAAGGGGTCCTGTTTGTACCCCTGCAGGAACAAAACATTCAGGTAGACATTCTTCTCTCACACAAGGCCACAGAGGCTAATGGACACAGAGCTGCATGACTTCTCAGTGAAGGGCCAAACAGTCTTGGGAAAAACAGTCTTCCCAAAAGAGGCCCAAGATATTCTTACTTACTTCCTAGCCTTCTCTTAGAAACATCAGATTTTAAATCTTATAATTTGTTTCAATGAAGGAAACCCTACGCAGCCCACCTAAACCACTGAAATTAGACTACAGGACCATCAATTTAGAGCTTGGAAGTTATCCCATCTAACCACGGAAGCAGTCTGGCATGCTGGAAAGAGCATCAGCCCAGGAGTCAAAGGAGCCAAGTGAAAATCTCACTCCTGGAGCTCACTACCTAGGTGACTTTGGACAAATAATCTTTCCTCCCTGGGCCTCAATTTTGGCAACTGGAAAATGAGGAGATCAGATTAGATGGCCTCTGAATCCCTTCCTGCTCTGGATCTAAGATCCTATGACACCCTCATTTTACAGATGAGGAAACAGAGGCCCAGAGAGTTCCAAATGGCCTTCTAGGAGCCTTCCGATTTTAAATCAATGATTGTTCAGTATTTTTTCAGTTATGTCTGACTCTTTGTGACCCCATTTGGGTTTTTCTTGACAAAAAAAGATACTGAAGCAGTTTGCCATTTCCTTCTCCAGCTCATTTTAGAGATGAGGAAGCTGAGGCAAATAGGGTGAAGTGACTTGCCCAGGGTCACACAGCTAATAAGTATCTGAGTCTGGATTTGAGCTCAGGAAGTTGAGTCTTCCTGCCTCCAGGCCTGGTACTCTTTCCACTGAGCCACCTATCTGCCTATTGCTGGACAATAGATCCAATAGTCCTATTAACTTATTTCACATAGGTTATAAATGATAAAACCAGGACTCAAAACCTAGGTCATTTCACCTCAAATCCAGCATTCTTTCCACTAAAACTTATAAAAAATATGGACCATATGTCACACATGAAGGCAGAGATGATTCTGCTGGGACATCAGGTACCACTTAGCATGCCCTCTGGGTTACTGTGTGAGCCAAGGATGCAAACTTAGCCCAATATGCCCATAATCCTACGTAAGAGTTCCTACTTCTTTTCCTTCCTAGAACCAGGGCAACTATGGCATGAGCCCTCTGGATGATTGGTGGCTGCATTGCAATTCAGTCCACTCATTTGCATCTGTGACAGCTTTGCTTTGAAAATTGGATCCTAAGACTATTTCATGACTATCCCATAGAAGATGACATTTTCATAACCTCTCAACTCGGCCTTCCCTGCAAGGAGCCTGAGGTTGAATCACCCAACTGAGTGAGCAAAAAATAACATTTGGCTCCCAATCTATAGTTGAAGTTGGTGAAAGAAGAGGTGTAATGGGAAGTGATCAGAAGGAAGATAGCTTTACCTTTTAAAAAAACCCAATACTTTCAGATAATCTATATTTGTGTTAGCAAAGGACGTATACGATATACATTTCTGTTCTCTTAGATGTTACTAAGTTAGAAAAGTTTGATAAAAGTTCTGGCAAACAACAGTATTTCAAGAAAAGCCCTGGATATGCTGGCCCACTGGCTTAAAGAACTCAAGTTTAAACCATAGATCTTCTCCTTTGTACCTGGGTGACCTTGATCATATTTCGTAACTTCTCTGGGTTTCAGTTACTTCATTTGTAAAATGAAGTTTGACCAAATCAGGGGTTCTTATCCTTTTTTCTGTCATGGATCCCCCCTTTGGCAGTCGGGTAGAGCCTAAGGATGACTTCTCAGAATAATGCTTTTAAAAATGCATTGAGTAAAATACATAAGATTACACAGGAAACCAATTAAAATCCAGTTATCGAAATACAAGGCATCCCAAAAGTCTTAGTGCAGTCTAGAAGCAACAGCTTAAAACTGTACTTTTGGGATACCTGCATTACAAAAATAAGTTCTTGGACCCCCAATTTAAGAACCCCTAGACTAACTGATATCTAAAGTTCCTTCTCACCCTAAACCTATGTTTCTGTGTTGATCTGCAAGCCTATATTGACAAGGACCAGCCTAGCTAAGGCCTGAGAGACATCATCAGAAGCTTAGCATCCAGGTAATGAATTCTTTTGGACATTGCAACTTATGGATTGTCTAATAAAATAACAAAGGTTGACATCATGTCAAGTAACTACATTGATAAAATAATATTTTTGAGGAGCTGACAAAATAAATATAGAATTGGAATCTAGCTCTTGCAAGATGGGATGGAAAACAGGAAGGGGGAAGGTGGCCTCGGGGCATAGTGGGAAAAACCCTAGATGACCAGTTAAAAAACCTGGGTTCAGGCCTCACTTCTACATAGGTGTCCTTGAGGAAGTCATTCTTGGTGCCTCAATTTCCTCAAATCTAAAAAGGAAATAATACTTACACTACCTCCCTCAGAAGGTTGTTGTGGGAAGCAAACACATGTAGATATGCTTTATAAATGCACAGTGCTAGATCAAAGTGAGCTAAAAGGAGTCTCAGCTGCTGATCTCCCCACTTTCCAAGCATACTTTGTGCATGTGGGCAAGGGGGTGGCAAACCTCTGCTTTCATTCACCTCCCACAGAACAAGAGATGCTCTCTCCATTCAGGATCTAAACCAAGTGGATATTTTCAAAGGACAGTTCATCAGTTTGCATTAACTCAGAGGTTCTCAAACTTTTCCCTTTTTAGATCCCTCTCAAAACTCTGTGTGGTTTCTTTTACTCTTGACACTCCCCCCAACTCCTGCCTTCCAATGCCCTTCTATTGAGGTTGTAATTTATGTGAAATTCTGCATAAGAGAATAATTTGGGGTTTGCAAGGCCAGGTCTCTAGAACAGTTTCAAGACTTTTCTGCACAGTCATTGTTCCTGACAGAAGTGACATGGGATAGTAGAGAGCTAATCTAGATTTAAGTAAGTCCTGCCTCTGACATATACTAGTTGTGTGACCCTGACCTAACCACTTATTCTAATCACTAATGCTCTAAGCAACTCTCTAAGACTGTGGGTTGCAAAGGATATGGAGACATGCAGGGATGGGGTGAGTTTCCTCACCTTGGAAGTTTTTATAGCAATGAAATCACAAGTCAAGTCCTTACCCTTGTCTATCCTTATTCCTACTATGCCTCTCATTCTAGTAGCTGCTATGGGATGAAGGGAGATTCCTTGGATGATGATGGAATGGACCAGCTGTGATCCCGAAATGTGGGACCAACTTTAGAATATCATCAGATTCCCCAGCTGTCCATGGAGCTCCTTGCAGTATTAGTACTCTCCTCTCCCCTTAGCCCCAACAGCCATAACAGCACTTTTCTCATCCACTGCAGTAATGGAAAAGAGCCACCATCTTCCCAAACTTTTGTGATGCCAGTTTCATTGATTCCTGAGCTAAACTGCATTCCTCTGTGTAGTAACACAGTGCCTTCTATATTGGGAGGGATCATCATTGCAGCCAGGTGGAAGCTCATGGGCATTTGCCCAAAGGCTAAGAAAAGAACTGTGATTGTAAAAAATACAAAAGACAAAAAAAACCCCAACAACAACCAACTATTCCTAGAGGACAATTCTTTGGTGGTCAGTTGCCAAGAACAGAACACACATGGAGAAATCATACTAGAACCTTGGGTAGAGCTGATTATCCACATGATCTTGAAGGTGGCTTCTAATACTAAAATTTTTATCATCTGGGGGGCATTTGCACCTCTGACCACCTCTCTTCCCAGAGATTCCACTTAATAATTTCTAAGCAATTGCTCTCAGAGCAAATCCACAGCAGGAGCACGTCGTACCACCACAAACCTTGTTTCTCAAACTCTTCAAAAAGGGGCAGGCTGGTGATGCTGGGCCCTGTGAAGATGATATAGTTCTTGCCCGCTGCATTCCTACAGAGGCTCTTGGCCACCATGCTGTGGAGCTGGGGCTTGTTCTTTAGAGTGTCCAGTCCGTCTGCACCACCGCCTTCTTTCAGGTGCACATAAATCTTCAAGAGAGAAACACACAAAGAAAAAGAGATAAAGTCAGCTTAATCCCAACAGCCTAAGACAGCGATTAGGTAACAAGAAGCCTGGGTTGCTGGTTCTGAACCTACTACCAAGTGAACTATGACCTTGGGTGAGTTATCCCCTGAGGCTCAGTCTCCTCCTCTCCTCACCGTCTCTTGGCATATCTCATGTAGGCATGTTATCAACAAAAAACTGATCTTGTAGACAGTCTGGGCATCACCCCTGCTACTCAGCCCAGGCAGTCCAGGACTCAGAGTATACTTGTTCACTTTAGAAAGACACAGGAAAAGCTAGTATTGAAGAATTAATCCACAGCATGGTAATTTCCAGCTTAATCAGGGCATAGCCAATATTACTTATGGCTGAGATCATTAGGGAAGAGCCTCTTACGTTAAGAAATTCTGTGGAGATTTTTAGGCAACACTGTAAGGCTTAACAATTTTACATTCTGAAGGAAAGAAATCAAACAAGGGTCTTACACAGATGAATGGATATGTGCAAAGGTAAGAAATTAGTGGAGGTATACAAGTAGACAAGATAATGGAGGCATACAAAGTGCAAGCACTGAGGCGTAACAGATGGGGGCGGTGTAGATTTTTGGGATGTTCTGAGGAAAAGGCAAAGTACTTATGAATGATTGATTACAGCAAGTACAGTACTTCTATAGTCCTGAAGAAAGCAAGGTTTCCCATGGGCAAGTCCATTCCTGTGGTCTTTCAGGACAGAAACATCTCATCTCCTCATATCTAATTGCAGCAAAGCTAAACCTCTAGAAGAGCAAAAAGTAGGTCTAGGCTCTATGAATCCTCAAATTCTGACTCTGTACCAGAAAGGCAGAATGTTATAGTAGAAAGGATACTAATTTTGAAGTAAGGAGAGACCTGGGTTTGAGTCCCATTTTAGTCACTTAGTAATTATATGACCATGGGAAAAAATGTCAAATGATAATAATAACTAGCATTTATACATCATTTTAAGGTTTGCAAAGCATTTTACAAATATTATCTGATTGTACCCTCAAAACAATCCTAGGAGGTAGGTTCTATTATAATTCCCATTTTATAGATGAGGAAATTGAGGCAGACAGAAATTAAACGACTTGTTCACAGTCATATGTTTCTGAGGTCTAGATTTGAACTAGGTCTTCCTGATTCCAGGTCCAGGCCTCAATCTGCTACATCACCTAAGTGGCCCCAATTCACCTGACTTCCTAACTCAAGGAGACTTATCTGAGTTTTAGTTCTCTCATCTAAAAAATGGAAACACGAATACTTGCACCACTTATCGTTTGTTTTATTATCGAGTTAGGTAAGTTCTTTGTAAACCTTAAAACACAATACAGTTGGGAGATATTGTCATAAAAAGCTGGGCGGAATATGAATGAAATCTATAAAACAGTGACTAATGTGGAAAAGGTCGATAGGGACTCATTCACTTAATTCTGAAATACTAAGATTTGGGGAAGGGGGATACACTTTAAAACTTGTATAAGGTAATTTTAGGAAAAATAAAAGGAAGTATTGCATTATTTCACACAGGGGGCAATAAACTTATAGACTCCATTACAAAAGATGGTCCTGAAAGGAACTTAGAAATGGAATTTTACAGGGTTTGGATGGATTCATGATAGAGCTATAAATGGCTAAGAGGGCTGAAAAAACTTAACCTTTAAAGCATCCATAAAATAGGCTATCCATGTTCACCCATGGCATTTCCCATTGTTCTGTGTTGCTTAGGAGAATGGAATATGAGTCTGATCCACTATGGTGGTTCCTATATCTCTATAAACTTTTGCAGTGAAACTTTCCAAGCTTCAGGTTCATCCTGGGGGAAAAAAGAGCTTTGGTGTCATGAACCCAGAGGTCTGAGAAGCTGGTAAGGAGCAAATGGTTGAAACAAAAGAAAGGTAAGTTAACATTTCAAAGACTGGCATCATCCAAGCAAATATAAAATTAACATAGAAAGAGTCCCATGGAATTTCCCTGGCTCTCAGACAAAATACATTTGTGATTACAGTAATTTGGCAATAATGAATTGGTTATTGAAAAATATGTTGAGTATGGCCAGCCCAAATATTTCTTCATAGGAGTCATGAGTTAATTCTGAAGAGCTATTTGACCTTGGTCCCTCAGTCTCCTCAACTGCAAAATAATGGGGTGGTACTTACAGATTGCTTAAGGTTCCTCCCAACCTCCAATTCTATATTCTTGTATTTGGGTCACTACTTCCCTTTTGCAGAAGGACAAAGGAAGGCAGAGAGGAAGGAAGTAAAGAGAGAAAGAAGGAAGGAAAGAAGGATGAAAGGAAGGAAACAAGGAAGGATGGAAGGAAAGAGGAAAGACAGATGGAAGAAGAGAAGGAAAATTGGAGGAAAAAAGGAAGAAAAAAGAATGAAGGAGGGGAAAATGAAAGAAGTATGGGAGGAAGGAAAGAGGGTTAGAAGGATGGAAAGAAGGAAGGATAAGATAAAGGAAGGAAGGAATAAAAGAGATGAAGTAGGAAAATATGGAATGATGCCTTTGGGTGCTTTGTTCTGGTTCAACTTATTCTGGTATGAACAGCAAGCAATTTCTGATCCTAAACTGAGAGAACATTCACTATCTATCCCTGACCTATTTAATTACAAAAACAAATACAAAGAGAGAAGCTTTCAACTACATATTTAACAATCAAATAATTCTCCTGTTAAATTTCTTAGTTATGACACCTGTTGAGTCACAGCTTTTCAATACATATATCTGTTGTTCCTGGTTAAGCATTTTTGGGGGGACTTTTATTAATTTGAAAGCCATTGGAATACTTTGGATGTGAAGGGAAAGGAAATAAGTATTTATATAATTTATATATTTATATAATTATATATAAATTCATATATATATTTATATAATGCCTACTATGTACCAGGCACTGTGCTTAAGCACTTTGCAAATATTATCTTATTTGGTCCTCATAAGAAGCCTGTAAAGTAAGTGCTGTTATTATCTCCATTTTATAGTTGAGAAAATTGAGGCAAACAGGTTAAGTGACTTGCCCAAGATCACACAGCTAGCGAGGGTCTGAGGCCATATTTTTAACTCAAGTCTTCCTGACTCCAGGCCCATCACTCAAGCCACTTCACCAACAGCTGCCTGAATCTGTGAATTAGCCCAAGTGTTCTGAAAAACAATTTGGAATGATAACAAAAAAGTTATTAAACTTTTCATATTTTTGACCCCAAAATCCCAGCACTAGGAATTCAAACAAAAAGAAAGTTATTAAAATATTAATGGAAGTGCTTTTTTGTGGTAACAAAAAGCAAAAATAGAAAAAAGTGAGTGTCCATTAGATAGGAAATAGATGAACAAATTGTTCTATGTGGATGTAATGGAATATTATAGTGCCACAAGAAATGATAGAAAACCATGAAAAGATTTGTATTACTTGACACAGAATGAAGTAAGGCAGAGAATATATAGGACTACAATAATGTGATTTAAAAAAAAACAAAAAAGCAGCAGAACTCAGAATAAATGCAATCATCAATATCAGTTCCAAATGTCAAATGACTGCAGATGTCAAATATGGTAGATCATGCCATGCATAGCTGCCGTTTAGTTTTGCTTGACTTTTTTTTTTGCAACAAAGGATGATTCATGGGAAAGGTAGAGAGGCTCTATAGGGAAATAATTGTCATATAAAAAAGCATAAATATGTTAATAAACATTTAAAAAGATAGCATGACATCATAGCTGAAAAATAAACATAGTCTGAGGTTGTGTTCAATGAGCTATAGTAGCCAGAATAAGAGTTATCATAGGTCCAGCGTAGTTTGGCCTGTTAGACGTCTGCAATGTTGGATTAATTTCGGAGTGCCACTTTAGGAAGAGCATTGACAATCTGTACAACATTTAGTGGAGGAAGACCAGGACGGTGATGGGACTAAAAAATCATACTATACAAGGATCAATGGAAGGAATGATTGATGTTTAGCCTGGAGAATAAAAGACTTGAAAGGAACATAACAGCTATCTTCTAGTATTCAAAAGGCTTTCATGTCGAAGAGGGATTGATAATTATAGTTCACATTTCTACAGCACATTAAAGTCTGCAAAAATGCTTTACATGGTATTTCACTTGATTCTTACAACACACCTGTGATACTGTAAGTATCATTATCTCCATGTTAAACATGAAAAACCTTAGGCTTAAGGGGATTTAAGTGCCTTGCTCATGTTCACAATGAATATCAGAGGCAGAATTCAGACCCAGATCTCTTCTGTTGTCAAATCCAGTGCTCCTGCCAATATGACAAGGAAAGAATTTGCTCCATTTTGCCCTCAAGGATGAAGCTAGGAGCAATGGGGGAAATTTTGAAGGGGAAAATTTGGGGCTCAATGTAAGACAAAATTTCCTAACAATTAGTGATTTCTTAAGGAGATGGGGCTGCCTTGGGGGTAACTGGTTTGCCCCTTCCTGAAGGGAGGTCTTAAAAGTAAGGTGAACCATTTGTCAGGGGATTTTGATTTAGGTATTGATTGAATTACATGACTTATGTCCCTTCCAAAATTGAGATTCTGTGATCAACAGGCTGATCTGATATATCTAGTTACAGAGGTGCTCCTTCTTTCACCACTCCTTGTGTGACCCTCCCAAACTATATACTTGGTCACAAAGGACAACCTTCTTCCACAGCATGATTCCTCTCGTGAAGGGTACATAGTAGCTGACCTCTCCTAGAGACTTCACCAACAGTAACTTACTAAATGATACCCAAATTCCCTGAACAGATTAAAGAACTGACCTCATATGGTAAAACTGCCTTTATTTAATTTAAATCAATGGAAACTTTCTCCAAAAAGCAGCATATGGCACTGAGACCTGGAGTCAGGAGATACAGGTTTGAAACCTGGCTCTAATATTAGCTATTTGATCATGGGGGAGCCATTTACTTCCTTGAGCTTCCAATTCTCACCTATAAAGTGAAGTTAATTACACTTGC